AAATCTATAAACAGACTACAAAAACTGCTAACATTTGAGCCAGGTCTATATATCTAGGTTTAGATTTATTCTTAAATGGACCTACCCCACCCAGCAACAGTGTTCAGGAAGGGGACAGGGCAAGGGCAGCTAGAGAACGCAATGATTCACTGTCCAGTGGACAGCATTCACTGCAGTGTTTCTATAGCTTCCTTTCTTTGGTAGAACCACCAAAGGCAGGACAGTACTGAAGATACCCCTGCCATCCTTTGAGTATGAACTCTCTTGGACTGCAAAAGCCACAGGTTACCCACAAGAGTCATTGTCTCCATGGAAATTATTATCCCCAAGGACAAAGGGTTTTGAAGACTTCAAGGCCAGAGTCTTGAGATGAGAGGCACTGCACAGCAAGCACAGAAGTAGACCCATGGCCTCTGGGGTTGGATACATAGGACCTTTGTAAAGCACTAGAGCCCCCATCTTAGAGATAATCCACTGAGCGTGATTCATCCACCATCCCTCCCTCATAACCCCCCCCCCCAAAAAGAAGACTATCCTCCTACCTGGCAATTCCCTCTCCAATGCACTAGTGTAGACAAGGCTAAACTTGGGCAAACACAGTTTAACTTAAACTAAACACCATATTCCCCAAATGAGAAGTGGTAGTTTACCCACTTCTTTTTCCCCCCACTCCTCCACTGCACCAATGGGTATTACACACCTCATAGGATATGCTGGGTTACTTTACCCACTTTGTTTCCCACAACACCGAACCTTTCCAAGGTTCAGTATGCAGGGACATTAATAGTGCAAAGTGTCAGGCACTTAGGCCTGGTCTACACTAACCCCCCAAGTCGAAGTAAGGTACGCAACTTCAGCTACGTGAATAACATAGCTGAAGTCGACATACCTTACTTCGAACTTACACGTTCAGACGCGGTCCACATGCGGCAGGCAGGCTCCCCGTCGACTCCGCGGTACTCCTCTCGCCGAGCTGGAGTACCGCAGTCGACGGCGAGCACTTCCTGGTTCGACTTATCGCGTCCAGACCAGACGCGATAAGTCGAACCCAGAACTTCGATCCCCAGCCGCCGAACTAGCGGCTGGGTGTAGACCAGCCCTTAGGGACTAACAATAATTTTTTTTGTTATAAGCTGGAATCTTATCAGTTGAAAGCGACAGAGGTGGCAAAAGTCCTGGGTGTATTGGTTGATCACAGGATGAGTAAGGGCTGCCAATGTGATGCGGCCGTGAAAAAGGCTAATGCAGTCCTAGGATGCATCAGGCGAGGTATTTCCAGTAGAGATAGGGAAGTGTTACTAACATTATACAAGGCACTGATGAGACCTCATCTGGAACACACAGTCTCCCATGTTTAAGAAAGATTAATTCAAACTGGAACAGATGCAGGGAAGGGCTATTACAATGATCAGAGGAAGGGAAAACCTACCTTATGAGAGGAGACTCAAAGAGCTTGGCTTGTTTAGCCTAACCAAAAGAAGGCTGCGGGGAGATATGATTGCTCTCTATGAATACATCAGAGGGATAAATACCAGGGAGTGGGAGGAGTTATTTCAGTTAAGGGCCAATACAAGAACAAACGGATATAAACTGGCCATCAATAAGTTTAGGCTGGAAATTAGACGAAGGTTTCTAACCATCAGAGGAGTGAAGTTCTGGAACAGCCTTCCAAGGGGAGCAGTGGGGGCAAAAAAACCTAACTGGCTTGAAGACTGAGCTTGATACATTTATGGAGGGGATAGTATGATGGGACTGCCTACGAGGGCATATGGCTGATCTGTGACTGCTGGTAGCAAATATCTCCAATGGTCGGTGGTGGAACACTAAATGGGGCGAGTTTCTACAGAGAATTTTTTTCCCAGTTGTCTGGCTGGTGAGTCTTGCCCACATGCTCAGGGTCTGATCGCCATATTTGGGGTCGGGAAGGAATTTCCCCCTGGGTCATATTGACAGAGTCCCTGGGGGTTTTTCACCTTCCTCTGCAGCATGGGATATGGGTCACTTGCAGCTTTAATCTAGTGTAAATGGTGGATTCTTTGTAACTTGAAGTCTTTAAATCATGATGTGAGGACTTCAGTAACTCAACCAAAGGTTAGGGATCTATTACACGAGAGAGTAGGTGAGGTTCTGTGACCTGCAATGTAAAGAGATCAGACTAGATGATCATGATGGTCCTTTCTAGCCTTAAAGTCTATGAGTCCTGATTGGCACAACAATTTCCCCTCCTTTTACCTCCACATCAGAATCTCTCCTTTCCTCATTGACAGATCTCTTTGAAGGGAAATTTTAATAAAATAAAAATACAACTCCCTGTATTCATTAGTTATACTTAGGACACTTCAAACTGTATAAAGGAATGAGATACTAGGCTGGAGTATCAGAGGAATGATACCAGCAAAATACCTTATAATTAGCACAGCTAATGAAGAACAATTAAATGTTTCTGAATTTATATGACTCTCATCTCAGTGGTATCTGTGCACATGTGGAGCATATGTTGTGAACTGCATTGAGCAATCAATTCCATCATATACTAAAATAAGATAAATATCACAGAAGTTACTTAAGATGGCATTTTTCAGGAATCTGAAAGTAATTTGCACTACACTTTCCACAGCAAAAAAATAAATAAAAAAATAGAAATAACTCTGTCTAATGCCCTCCAAAATCCCTATTGAAATATACGAAATGAGTGACTTTGTCTGTCAATTACCCTCTGTGTAAGTGTTTACAGTATGATGTTTTTATATACATCATTTTAAACCTCAACAGGCCACATTTTTTTTACCACTAGTTGCTGCTTTCTAGGACTTCACTAGGGAGAAAAACATAGAAAGTCAGTCTCTATTGTTCATTCCACTGATTTCAAATGAAAAAATATTAAGACTCTCATTTAACATGCAATTGTTAACATCCCACCTAAATCCACTCTAAAATGCATCTACAACCTGTGAATCATTTCCCCTGATGCTTGCATACAGTTATAAGGACAGCCTTATAGAAGAGAAAGTTAATGGAAAGTTGGCACTTTGGACTTCCTAAAATCTTCAGGTGAGATTAAAGTTTTGGGTTTTTTTCCTACTGAATGTGTTTGATACTACAAATAATGTTTTGCAGTGGAACAGTAAAAATCTTCACCAACAAATGTCTCTAAGCCTTTTTCCCCATGCTTCCCTTTTAGCTTGCAATGTCCTTCCAAAATCTAGGTATGCCATGCTGTTGTAGCTATGTCGGTCCCAGGATATTGGAGAGACAAGGTGGGTGAGGTAACATCTTTCACTGGACCAAACTTCTGTTGGTGAGAGAGACAGGCTTTTGAGCTATACAGAGCTCTTCTTCAGGTCTGGGAAACTTACCTCAGATGTCACAGTTATATACAAGATGGAACAGATGGTTTAACATATGTAGTTAACACATATTTCAAGGGATCATTCAAGGTGAAGTGGCCATTCACACCCCTACAGTCATACGTAGGAAAGGGAGGGGGAGAGAAGCAGCTGAGGGGAGGGTTGTTAATGGGTTATAGACTGTTGTAATAAGTCATGAATCCAGTGTCTCTATTAAGTCCATGATTTTTTGTGTCTAGCAAAGTAATGAATTTATGGACACTGGAAAAATCCACACCCCTAAGCGACATAATTTTGCTGGCCTAATTCCCCATGTAGACAGCGCTATGTCGGCAGGACAGCTTCTCCTGCCAATACAACTACCGCCTCTTGGGGGTTAACTTCACTGACGGGAGAGCTCTCTCTCTCTCCCCTCACTTTAGAGCGCCTTCATTAAAGCTGTGCCGATGCAGTGTTTTAAATGTAGACTTGCCCTAAGTTTCCCAACATGAAGAAGAGCTCTGTGTAAGTTTAAAGGCTTGTCTCTTTCACCAGCAGAAGTTAGTCCAATAAAAAATATTACTTCACTTACCTTGTGTCTTCCAAAATCTACTCAGCAAGCCTGTTTCTTCATGCTTTTCAAATCTTTCCTAAAATCCCATTTTTACAGCCCCAATATGAAATGAGGGTGAAATCCTCGCTCTGATTTGCATCTTTCCTTACTCCTCCCTATTTTGGTGTACATTACATCCTCACTGATAGCAAGTCCATAATATAAATTATAAGTAAGGCTATGTTTTAGTCATGGGTATTTTTAGTCGCTGGATCGAGGTTCATTAGTTTCTCACCAACATGCAAATATTCACTTTGAAATATATTCTCATCTCAAAATACATGAAGATAGGCACTTAGGGTAGCTCTTCTTGGGGAGGGGGGACAGCGGGGGAGAGGCCGGGGACTAGGCTCCCCAGCCAGGAGCTCAGGGGCCGGGCCCACGTCTCATCTACATCTACACTGCAATTAAACAGCCCCTTAGCCCAAGCCCCAGGAGCTTGAGTCAGCTGGCATAGGCCAGCCACAGCTGTCTAACTGCAGTGTAGACATACTTTAAATATAGATTTATAAACTTAACTGAAGAGTCCTATTTATTAAAATTTTGGCACAACTTCTGCCAGTCACACAGTGGTCTCAGACATGTTCTTCTACAGACATTATATAACTTTACAAAAATACCTTAATAACTATACAAATGAATTTTTAATAATCTATTCATGTTATTTCATATGTAACTTAGCAAAACTAAACATGAGGTAAACTTCATACTCTGAGCACTTGAAGACTAATATGTTTGGAATTTTGAGCCAATTTTTATATTAGGAAATCTCTGTTACGTGTTGCATAGACACAACCTTTTAAGTTCAGTCATTAAAATATCATGCAGATTTCAAACTTATTTTACTTCACAGTACACATGAAAACTTTTGTGCAAATCTTTAAGAAATGGGGATAATTCCCAAGGAAAGAACTTTATGCCTGTTTGCTCATGAACTACTTTCAAGAACTCCTTTAATTAAAAAGAGACCAAAAAATAAGAACATTAACCAAAATTTTCATCTTTAAATACATTCACTGTAAATGTAGGTAAAGGAAGTGAAAAATAAATACAAAACTTACAGGTTCAACAAATTCAAATTTCTTTTTCTCCTGTACTTCTTGAATTTTAAACACATATTCTAATGACGCTTCATAAAAGTTTTGATGTTCTCTGTCAATCTGCATATCTGCCTAAAAATAAAAATGAAGTACATAAAATTAATATTAATTTTTGGTTATAACTGGCTCACTTAGTATTTCCATTATTAACTATTTATTTAAGAGTCCCCTAAGTTCCAGTTTCCTGTTTTATTTCCCAGCCCTATATACTCTTATGCTCGTAACACAACTCTCCTTTTGCTAATATCCCTACTCTTCTCTGTGAGCCATTTCAAAGTGAACCAGGATGAAATGTGGTACACAGTACAAGTCACCAGTCCAGACATTAGTCCTTCACCAAATACAACCTAAACTGGCAAAAGTGCAAGGAACACAGAAGGATGACAAAAAGCAGTCAAGGATCAACTACGCAAGATTTAAAGCAAGGAACATTATTATTTTGGGCATGCAAAAATGTGCTAGCTGCCATAGAAACACAAATAGAGACAGTCCCCCTTATTGTTTCGCAGTCTAAATGTAACAGGACACAACAGGCCAAGGTCATAAGTAGACAAAACAGAAAAGGAAAGGGAGAAAGAGGACAGGATAAAATAAAATCAGACAGTTCCTGAGTAAGACAAGGACACATCAGGATGGTTACATTAATTTAGGATAAAATCTTCAAACCTGAGTGCCTAAAGTAAGGCACTTACATACGTGACTCCCCACTCAGAGCTGCTGAGCATTCATTAAGGTCAGTGGGAGTTGTGTGTGCTCAGCACTTCTGAAAATTAGGGCACTTATTTAGGTAGGGTTACCATACGTCCGTTTTTTCCCGGACATGTCCAGCTTTTTGGTAATCAAACCCCCGTCCGGGGGGAATTGCCAAAAAGCCGAACATGTCCGGGAAAAATACCGCCGGCCGGGCACTTCCCTTCCCGGGCTCCGGGGGCGCATGGTCCAGAGGCATGGGGGCTGCCCAAAGCCGGTAGCACTCGGGCAGCTCGGCTCTTAAACAGAGCCGAAGAGTCAGGGGAGGAGCACAGCAGCCGGAGCCTGGGAGGGGAAGTGCCCGGCCGGGGTCGCAGGGTCCGGAGGCATGGGGGCTGCCCGAAGCCCGAGCGCTACCGGCTGGGCGCTTCCCCTCCCAGGCTCCAGCTGCGCTGAGGAAGCGCAGGGTCTGGAAGCTGCCCGGCAAACCGTGAAGCCGGTAGTGCTTGGGCAGTCCTTTTCGCGTGGCTAGGAGGGGGAATGCGGGGCGCTCAGGGGAGGGGGCGGAGTTAGGGCGGGGACTTTGGGGAATGGGCGGACTTGGGGCGGGGCCGGGGTGGGAAAGGGGCGTGGCCAGGGCCCCGTGGAGTGTCCTCTTTTTTTATTTTTTAAATATGGTAACCCTAATTTAGGTTACTAAATACAGATTTAGGACCCTAAGTTTAGACATCCAAGCTTAAAAATTTTGGCCTTAGGGTTCCCCCCAACCCTGCTCTTCTTTCCTTTTCTCTCCTCTCCTGGATTTATACTATATGAATTTTAGGAGAACCTGGCATGAAGCAAGGAAAGGTGGCTTGGGGGAAGGTGCTCCACACATTCTGAGCATCATGGGAAAAGGTGCAGAGGAGGGAGTGGGACAAGAGAACAAAAAGGGGCATCAAAGTTGGTGTGCATTGTTAAGGATTCTCTTGAATATCATGCATGACTGATTCCTTGCACATTTCCCAGCATGAGTAGTTTCAAATGCCTTTTCCACAGATTATCTCACAGAGAGAGAGGGAGAGAAAGAGAGGGACATGTTTTTAAACACAGAAATCTTGCAGCCTATCATTTATTTCATAATATGAATCCAGCTGTCTGAGAATATAAACATATTTTATAGTTTTATACGTTCACAATAGCTAATTTTCATGTTTTAGTTTTCCCAGAAAGTGTAGTGTGCAGTATTTGCTGGAAATTTATGAGTATTGACTGCTACCATGGGTTATAGGCAGGGATCGAACCTGGAAACACCAGCACCAAAGCAAAGGCTTTTGTCACTGGAGAGAAAGAATTAACTCCACCAACTGATAAGAGTAGTAGGATCTTATCCTCCATGTAAACAAGCCATTAGAGGGAGACATAACACATGGCCAGTTCCCATTTTAACTCCATTTTTTCAAGTATCAGAGGGGTAGCCGTGTTAGTCTGAATCTGTAAAAAGCAACAGAGGGTCCTGTGGCACCTTTAAGACTAACAGAAGTATTGGGAGCATAAGCTTTCGTGGGTAAGAACCTCACTTCTTCAGATGCAAGCTTATGCTCCCAATACTTCTGTTAGTCTTAAAGGTGCCACAGGACCCTCTGTTCCATTTTTTCAGTTATTCATAACTTTCCTCAAGGACGTTCCTTTTGGGCTGAAATTGTCTATGTCTTGTCCCAGCTCTAAGGGCATTTCTTTTTTTAATTGTGGAAACTTTCAGTAACATCAGTTCAGCCATTTCTGATTTATGGTAGTATAAAAATAATACATTTTTCTCTTATGTTCTGATTAAATTTGGAACTCAAATAACAAACATGTGTGAAGCTAGAAAATTGAAGATGGCTTGTTTTATAGTTTCCATCAAGGAACAGAAAGAATATTCATTTTTAAAGAAAACAGGTTTAGTATTTTTTAAATCTTATATTATAATAGGGTATATAGGGTATATAGGGTATGCAATTTGGCAGAATTTAACAATGTGTTACAACTTTAGGGTATGATCCTGCAAACTTTAACTCATGGGATTGCAAAATATGAGAATTTGCATAACATGGGCCTCAGTTTTTACTTTTGGTTGTATATAAAAACAGTTTAATTTGGTTTTAGCAAAGAGCTCTTTCATGGCCCAGTTCAGGAAAGCACTTAAGAACATGCTTTAATCCATCCACAGAAAAGCACGTAAGCACCTGTTTAACTTTATTGGGACTTAAGCACATTTTGAAACACTGTCCAAAACTTGGGCCACAATGATCATTTGGGTATAGTGATCAAATCACACTTTCCAAAAGCCATCTTCTGTGAAGGCTGATGAGTTTGCTTGACCAATGAGCATTCACAGTTGTAAGAATCATTTAAGAAGTGGTTTATTTGAACTTTTCCAAGGCAGGAAAGATTTTCACACCTTTTTGTATGCCACTCAGCCGATGGTAAAGAATGGCTTACTATATGGTTAATTACAGCAGCAGCTTTTATGATAGACAGTTAGAGTCAGTATTATTTTGACTGACTGGCAATAGCAGTAGAATGTGCATCAGAACTCAATCTGTTCTTGCAAGATGGACATGCCTCCATACATGATCATGATTCTGAAAGCTCAATTTCATGAATCTGCATTTAGTGATCAATAGGGGGCTACCAAAATTGATGCTTGTAGCATTGATTCAGATCTATTCCTTTTTAATTCTGTAATTCTCATTTATTTCCATAGGTTTTCTCATAGGGATAGTAAAAAAGTTGGTCACAGTGGGTTTTTGTTTTTTTGACATCACATACTGTGTGCAGTTTGTAAAAAGTATTTCAATAGTCGTGTACTACTATGGAATGTGCTGCATATTATGACAAAACTCATACCCAAATGATCTTCATCTTACACACTATTTGACAGTGATATCCCAAGGTTTAGCACAAAGAAGGATCTTTACTATGTGACTATAGCCCTGTAACTACAGATGTATGGAAAACACAGGCCTCCACTTGGATCAAGATGGAACATCAGAGATCTGAAGTCTGTAGTGGCTGTATCTCTGCATTACAAATAAATAAATAACTTTGCAACCTACTCCGTTTTAGGGAAAATGCATGTGGCCCTCTGGCTCACAGCTAGTGCCAACTTCAGCTTGGCTAAGTCTGGACAACCATGACCTGAGGTGAGAGTATTATCATCAAAACTAAACATATGCCTAATATTAAAATTGCACATTTTGAATCAAACTCAAAACAAGAGAAGCTGCCCCATTCTTTATCTAACTCCCCCACAACCAGTTTTTATAATTTAAATGCCTGATTCACCACTGTGCTTACTCCAGTTTTATGCTGGTGTAACTCCAATTATTTCAATGCAGTTATATCAACATAAATCTGCAGCAATGTAATGGTGAAGTAGGCCCTATATGTTCTACAATCACGGCCTTTAGAAAAGTAGACTAACTAGCATCCCTTATGAAATTCAATATCTAGGCATGAAGTGATCATTAAGGACAGAGTGGAAAACTTTTACTGTGATTTTCTATTAGTTTGTATGCTCAAGTCAAATCCTTCGTGATTCTAAGACAGTTTATTTAATTATATTCACAGTTGATACATTTTATTTAATTTCAATTAGTTTTTTAACTGCAATATAATAAATAATCTGCATAACCATTCCAGCAAAATGTGCTTTATTTAAACCTGACAGTAAATTAGCACTTAACTTGTCTTAACCAAATCTTGATTTATAGGTAAATACATCGAGAATTGTTTTCTGACTTCCTGCTTAACCTCTAATGGAACTATTTTCCCATTAATGCAAGGGGAATTTATGTACTTGTCGGAGTTGTGTAAATGTAAATTTGGCCTGTGAATGGAACAAAAAAAACCTTGTAAAATTAATGTTGTTTTCTCTACAGTTGATTCATCATACTGACATCTGTTTTAGCGAGTACAATATAAAAGAATAAATGTTATGAAATTGCATTATTATATCAGGTAAATATAAACCACACTTTGTGACTTTCTGAGAGATGGTTACGTCTTTTGTGTAGAATTTTGTCAGCAAAATAGTTTCCAAGTTTTCAGAGTTTATCATTGACAATAACGCTATTAAAATAACACCCATCTTTTTTGGAAAGTTTAATAGAATGTCAGTAATACTGAAAAAAATAACTTGTAATTTGCTGCACAGGAAAATAATTTAACCTAACAACATAGCTAAAAAGGGGATCCTTCTGCTAAGTTAGAACTATGCATGCTTTTTAAAAGTAACAGTTACAGGATGTACTCTTTAAAATGGATGATGCATCTACATTTAAGGCTATGACCCTGGTAGAAGTCCTGTTGAAATCAAATGAGCTCCACATATCAGATTCCAGGATCAGGTTTAAATACTTTTATCCTGTATAATTAGAGCTTTGTGCTCATAATAGAACAATCCTCTCTGAATAGTTTTTTATCACTGTAGTTCCCTTAATCTGTACACAGTGCAGAATCAGGCCCACTGACTTCTGTTGAAACTGCTGGGGCAAAGAAGTACTACTCACAAAAGTAAGGACCCGTCATTCTTTGCTCAAACTAAGAATCTTATGAGGTCATATTTGACTACATTTTGTTATGACAAACACAAGTTTACCTGAAGATCACATGCACAAAACCTGTCAAAAACCTTTGGCAATCTCTTTATTTATTTGCAATATGGCACTCTTTTTCATTTCATAAAATACAGCCATATAGTTTCATAATGGAAAGAATGTTTCTCTCCGATTAAAGCAGAAAACATGACATTCTGAAAAGCATTAAAAGTGTGATTAAAATGCTTCAGGCTCAGTTATCTAGTCGAAAATTTATGTAAAATGGAGTCAATTAAATAACAAAAAAAGTCAGCATAGCCTAATTATATTAATTCTAAATATTCCATATACACCTTGCAAATAAAGGTCATACATGTTTTATTAGAGTATTACAAATATTGTAAATAGTAAAAATTAGATTTGCAACTTAAAATATGGCAGAGCACATGGGACATACTACCCTGTTAGTTTTATTTCACATCAGAATAGTATTAATCTCATATATAGAATTTATGTATATGTACTTAGCAACAGGGACTGGCAGAAATCATCAACCATTTTATGTAAAGAAAAATGACCTAGAGACAACTCTTTTTAAAGACAGCATGTCCTAGAGACAACTCTTTTTAAAGACAGCATGTCCTAGAGACAACTCTTTTTAAAGATAAACTTATGGGCTAGTATAAGGGTAAGAGCTTACATCTTGCAAATGAGATTCTTTTTTCTTTGCTGATAAATTTAAGTGCTTCTCTAGAATGGAATAATATTTCTCACTTTCCTTGTCAAACTTCTTCTTCCCTTCCTGAAAAACAAAACATTGCAAAGTAAATAATTTGTTAGAACTTCAAAGCCAACAGAAAGGAAAAGCTAGCACATTTGCTAAAAAGACTAGCTGTGTGGTTATTTTTGCTGATTCCAATGATTTTAGGGCAATAGACTCATATCTGAATTGGGGTCTAAAAGTTATTCCAAGTTATTCAATGAGACATTAAGTATATGCTTGTCTTCACTGGGACTGGTCACGTGCTTAGGTACCTTACTGTACTGGGGCCTAAACTGGTTTAACTTATACTTTCTACTGGCTCCATAAATGTGCATGTCTCAGACCATTCCAACTTGCAAAAAACCTAGAGGAGTGGGTTCTGACTGGGAAAAAAAAAAATCTTTGCAACAGTCCCTTTGTGGTGCTCCTCTCTTATCTTTTCATTTGAGTTGAGGTTTGCCTGACCTTTGTGTTCAGAGTGCTGTATGTGGTTTTTACTCATATTCTTAGAACATGAGGAGGAGGAAGGAAAAGCATGTACGATTCTAATACAGCTGCAAGGGAGCTAATGCAGGCAACTCAGTTTTTCAACAAATGCTTTGTATAGTTTTGAATTTTTAAACATGTCCTTTTTAGGGAATTTCTCCACTCTCCCGCCTTCCCTCTTTTGAAAGCTTTCCTTATGTGGAGTCAGGTATCCCACATTCCCACCAGCTGAGTACTTTGATGCATGACAAATAATTCAGAAGGGAAATTATTGATTATAAACAAGGCAGACTGAGCTACACTCTTCTACTTTAAAAAAAATTAAATCTGATGCTTATGGGCTGTAAATCTAAGAAAAAGACATCTCTCTCTCTCTCTGTTGGGATCTCTGCCATCATTCTAGAAGTGACAGCACTGGGAAGGAAGGAGTAAAGGGGAAATCAGTAAGTACCCACAGCATTTTAAGGATTAAAAAAATTCTTGTTACTGCATTATATTATTGTAATAAAAGTGTCTATCCTGTGGTTGGCTGCGGTTCCCTGACAGGGTGTTTTATAGGCCTAAAACTTATCCTGCATGATTCCCTGTAATGACTAACAAACTGAGTATTTTAAGAAAACAAAGAAAGGCTAGCAGGACTAGTCTCATCAGCACATATGCAAAAGCTATTAATGGTGAGAAACCAATCACTAGATATAATGCAATAACATCAGGTCATGAGCAGGGCTCAATGATCCTTTCCTTCTGCTCTCTTTCTCTCTCTACGAATTATTGTTTTGTATTAAACAAGTTACTGTAGTATATTTTAACGAGAGGATTTGAAAATTCTCCCCAATTAATTTTTTTGTCATCATGCCACGTGAAAGTCATATCAACAGTCAAAGAAATAAGAAATAACAGGGAAATCTTAACACCATACATACTGAGCTACAAAAACAAAGCAACAGTTAATTATTTCCAGGAACACCACAATATAAATAAGTTCACAATGATAATCATACCAAATTAGAAAAAGAAAACAAACTCTCAACTATGTGGAAAATTCATATGGTATATCTATAATTATAAGCATATTTCTAATAGCTTGTCTACACGGTGCACTAGTCCACACCAGAAGGGTGTAAATTCTAGTGCACACTAGCATGTTGTTCACTAAAAGTTACCTATTGCTTATTAATGTAGTCCAGTTTTAAACAGTATTGCATTGGGCTTAAACTGCAGCAAGGGAGGTTTAGGTTGGACATTAGGAAAAAGTTCCTAACTGTCAGGGTGGTTAAACACTGGAATAAACTGTCTAGGGAGGTTGTGGAATCTCCATCTCTGGAGATATTTAAGAGTAGGTTAGATAAATGTCTATCAGGGATGGTCTAGACAGTATTTGGTCCTGCCATGAGGGCAGGGGACTGGACTCGATGACCTCTCAAGGTCCCTTCCAGCCCTAGAATCTATGAATCTATGAAGGTATTAGGCAACTTTTAGTGCACGCTAGCAGGGTCAATGTGGGCCCATTAGTGAGCAACACACTTGTATGCACTAGAATTTACACTCTTCTAGTGCAGACTAATGCATTGTGTACACAAGACCTAAGGTGCTCATCATCATAGAATCTTGGCAGCACCACATAAAGAAAAGTATATAAAGCATCCTTACTGGAAATTAAATAGAAACAAAAGCACCTGATCCAACAAAATATCTACAAGTGAATAATATAGTACACATCCAAAAACCTATACGCATTTTATTACAGATTAATACATGCGGTCACATGTTAACAAACTTAAAACATTTATAAAAAAGAGTAAAGACCAATGTGCACAAAGTAATACTCTTGTATTACACCTGCAACATGCGCCTTGAAGTGTGACCAAATTAGCCACAAAAATCAGTCTCTGGCAAACCAACATGAGAAATCAATTCCAGAGTCATGGATTCCTCACTGAAAATACACAGCCTCCAATGTCTTTGAGATTAAACCAAGAAACTATTAGCTTGTGTACGTCACATAATTTCATTAGTGTTACACAAAATGGTGAGATTGTCTTTGAAATGACAACATCTTTCTGGCCACCTGTAGATATATATTCTTGACTCCTGCTGTTACATGGGACATCTAGAAGCAGGTGTAAATACATCAAGAATTCCAGGTTGCAAAACAGACAGAAGGCATTGAAAACTAAGAGAGTCAATATGAATTCTATTAATGATTCCAATTACTTCCCCCTGCCAATTAGCATAAATGTATCTGGATTAGATCAGAAACAATTTGCCCTCAACCAAGTCTCAATCCCAGCAAGACAATGGGTAAAACTTCAACTGCACTCTCCAGGTCCTACACAGCAACTACATTTTTAAATGCTTAAAAGAGTCATACTATTCATTACATTTGAAACACAGAGGTAGATGAAATATGTACCAGTTATACATAGGAAGGAATCTTGTTTTGTTGTAAACTGATGTGTTTGTTTATTCAACAAGATTACCAAGGTGAGATGGAACACTGATACTTACGTTGGGTACCTTCCTGGCAGCGCGGATCCCGTGTAATGCTAGCATGTCCAGATGCTGGGATGTTAATTTATACCTAGGAAGCATGAAGTTTGCCTCTAGGCTTGTGGAAATATATTTCTCTAGTCAGGTGGACATTTTTGTTGGTGGTTTGTTTGTGACTAAAGCAAATTAAATAAATAAGAGATTAAGCATTAAGGGGGATTAGTTGCCTAGTTATTGAGGCTGCATTACTTGTGGTGAGCAAATTAAGGTTTGTTTTTTGTTTTTGTTTTTAAATGAACAGATTTTAAGTTCTTTTGAGGGTGGATCATCCTCTTCTACAGAGATATTTGATGCTACCTCTGTTGGGAGAAGCCATGGGATAGTCATCAGAATATGCAGAAACCTATCTCTAGTAATTAAGCTTTAGGACAGCATCTTGTCATATTTTAAATCAAGACAAAATCTACCATAGGTCTTCCCTGGTACTTCAATGAGATGTCCCAGCCTCTTTTACTATAGCAGAACAGAATTCTGTAGTACCTCACATGAGAAGTATTTTTTCAGTTCTTTACAGTCTTCTCATGTGGGGATTTCAAAGTACCGGTACTTTAGAAAAGTTAACAAATTAAGCCTCACACAATTCCTGTCAATTAAGTATGTATTGTTTACCCACGTGTGAAACACAAATGAAGACACAAAAGGGTTAAATGAACTGGCTCTGGTCAAAACAGGCTTTTATCCTGCAATGAAATCCACAAGTACAGTGGAAGTCAATAAAGCTGCACAGGCACTGGAGTTCATGTTAGAGGATCCGATCTAGGACCTAATGGGAGCTGGGATTCAAAACCAAAAGTCTATATTGATAAGAGAGAGACACAAAAGGTGGAAAGGGGAACCAGGCACAGAGCAGTGAAATGACTTCCCGAACACCACAAAGCAAGGCCAGTGACTGGCAACAGAATCCAAGTCTGCCAGCTCCTAGTCTTATTCCCCATCCACTAGATAAAACACTTACATTAAGTTATGAAAGAAATATTTACTTTATGTACTTCTCACTTTATCTATAGGAAAATCTGTCACATAGTGACTTGTAATAGGTCATGTAATGAAGACAGAAAAAACCCTCATATAAAAAAGTGTCAATACCGGAACAGGCCCCCTCCCAAAAAAAGAAAAAATCCCAAAAGTTAATGAATTGTGATACATTAGATCAGGGGTCGGCAACCTCTGGCACGTGGCTCGCCAGGGTAAGCACCCTGGTGGGCCGGGCCAGTTTGTTTACCTGCCGCGTCCGCAGGTTTGGCCAATCGCGGATCCCACTGGCCGCGGTTCGCCACTCCAAGCCAATGGGGGCTGCGGGAAGTGGCGCAGGCCGAGGGATGTGCTGGCCGCGGCTTCCCGCCACCCCCATTGGCCTGGAGCGGCAAACCAAGGCCAGTGGGAGCCGCGATTGGCCGAAACCGTGGACGCGGCAGATAAACAAACTGGCCCGGCCCACCAGGGTGCTTACCTTGGCGAGCCGCGTGCCAGAGGTTGCTGACCCCTGCATTAGATTAACCTTCTTGTTCCCAGAATGAAATTTCATGTAAATCTTGCTAGCATTCTGTCTGTGAGGATATGCAGAATTTGCAGACTTTTCTGTTCCACTGCCAATATTCCTAGCCTCTATAAAGAATGCACGAAACTGCCCCCATAGGTATATTGTAATGATTCACCCTACCTTAAAATTGATTCTTTAGACACCTGTTAGTTTAAAAAAGAGAACTAACAACTGGGACTTCCTGTTACCAGGGTAACTTCTGGTCTGACTGCTGCCTTCATGTGGACATCTCATCAATCAGCTTTTTTTTTTTTTTTTTCAGATTAGAGCACTACAGTTTCTCACTCTCAAGACAAGTAAGAAAAAGAGAGCAAAACAAAGTCGACTGAGAAGAAAGGCAATCGCTCAGACGTTTCAGCTGTATTTGTATCTTTATTTTAACTCAGACTTTGATGGGGTTTTTGGGAATAAGGCTCCAGTGCCAACAAATCAGCATTTCTGGCACTGTAAAAATCATTCTCAG